CTGATGCTGTTCTTTAATCCCTGCAGGCTGGAGAATGCCTGGCAAGGGTGCAATCTCTCCAGCACACGAAGCTGTAAAATTGAAATCTTCTTCTTGGCAACAAAATTAGCTCTCCTGTTTTCTTGCTCTCTCTGTGCGCATGCGCAAGAGATAGGCAGGGTGCTCCCTGTTGCTAAGGTTGCCCGGTGTGTCCTTAGTTCTGGCACTTCCTAACTTTTGAGTCCTTGACTTCGCAACCTTCATAATGTTTTTTTCTGTGTGATAAATACATATATATTGCCTGCAGCTTGTTCAGTGGCACCTCTGCGAGATATTTGTCCTCTGATGTATGCCCTTGGCACTTTTGTGTTTGTTTTTTTTAAGGAGTTTGCTGATCATATCACAGAATCGCTTGTAAAGAAAAAAAAAATTATTTGCCAAATGGTCAGCAGAGCTTCTGCTGTGAGCTCTGCTTGGAACATGATAAATACATTTGTGCATACCGGTCTTCTCTGCAAGCTCAACCAGTCGTGAGATCTATTAAATGATAAGCAGAGATTCTGCTCTCTATGTGTGGGGCGGGGACACTGGAAGACGATAGATCAGTATATGTGTACCAACCCTCTCCCCAAGCTCCATCTGTAGTGAGAGCTGTTCAGCTGTCTCATTTGCCAGACTTGTGACACATGCATTCTGTTTTTAGCACTGTCTGGATGTACTGCTCCCTATGTGCAGGGTCAGAGTCCTAGAGTGATTTGGGTTGGAAAAATACCTTCTCATGGCTCACGTGGGACCCTCCTCCTGCATTGTGGCAGGATGGACTCAACTATTCCTGACTCATCGCTGACGGCATCAGGACTTATCCTTGGATGTTCCCATGATACCACAACCACCATTTGCATCTCATTCCACCTCTTGAACCAGTACCATTATCCATATTTTCCCTTCTATTTAACCTGATTTTCCACTCTGCAACTTGAGCCTTTGGGGGAGAGATCGTCCTTTGGTTCTGTGTTTATGCAGCGCCTAGCACCATGGGGTCCTGGTCCTTCACTGGAGCTCCTGATTGCTACAGTGATGCAAATAATAACCAATGTAGAGGGAACATGTGGTGATTATTAATAAGAAATAATGGCTCCCTGTCCTTTATATAATATATAAATGGAGATTTTACTTATACTGAAGTTGCTCTGTGGAAGGGAGGGCAGGGAGTGGAGACTTCCAGCAATTGCAAGAAGCCAACAGCTGGCTCCTCCACACTCAGCGTGACCTACAGGTAGGTCTCTCACACCATCTCCCAAGCATTGCTGGATTCAGATTCCAGCTCTGACTCATCTCAAGCCTCCTCTGAAGCTGTTCTGCCCTGGAAGAGATCACCAAGGCTTGTAATTATTAGAAGAATAAAAAGATGAGGACTGATTGCTGCTTTCGGCCATCAACACCAAGCGTGGCCAGGAACGGAATTAGAGAAATGTGTGCAGAAGAGAAGTGAGAGGAAACTACTGGCAGTTTGGCTCATTAACTAATATTCCCTGATTTATTGTCACTATTTGGCCTTGTTTTTTCTCTGCTCCATACAGTATTTATAAGGCAAAAAATTCCACCACTGCAAATGAGCATCTAGAAAACAAATAGGGAGAAAATAAGTTGATTTTAATGTAAGCTAAAGCAAAAGTGTGGTGGTGGTGGTTTCTTTGTTTTTCCCTCCCCTCTCCTCCCCCTGCGCGCATTCTCAAGCCAACATGATTTCAAACGGCTGCAGAGTTTTGCAACGTAAACTTTTCGATTTTTATGGCCAGAAGACGTATGAGGTCATCTGATCTGATCTCCTGTATAATAAAGACCACTGAATTTAACCCTGTTGCACCTCTGAGCCCAATGTCTAAAGCATCAACCAGAAAAGCATCCAGTCTTGCTTTGAAGCCATCAAGAGATGGTGAATCCACCACTTCCCTTGGTAGTTTTGTCCCCATGACTAACCCCCTTCACTGTTCCAAGTGTGTGCCTGATTTCTCATTTGGATTTTTCTGGCTTCAGCTTCCAGCCATTGGTGCTCGTTCTGCCTTTCTCTGCTGTAATGCCTGGTATTTTCTTCCCGGTAAAATATGGGAATTCTGAGTAGGGGACTCATATCAGTGGGGAGAGTTCAAAGTAACAAGACTTGAAAATTGAAACCGTTTGGGCCTTATTTTTGTTGTTCTTGCTCATGCTTAGTTTAGCATTTTGTGCTGCAAATAGTCTCATTGAAAGCAATGGAATAAAGTGACTTAACATATCTAAAGGGGACAGAATCTGGCCCTTTTTAAAATGTATTTCATAAAGTTGCAGAATGTACCAGTGGGTGCTGGGCAAATTCCGAAGAGGTTCAGGGTTAGGTTCGAATAAGAGCCTGGAAATGAGTGTAACAGCACAATGTTGTAGACCAAGCTCATTAACTTGAGCAGAAAAAGCTCAAGTTTTTAGATCCAGATGTCCCAGGTTCAGTCCCTGCAGATGTCTAGGTATACTTACAGGTTTCAGAGTAGCAGCCGTGTTAGTCTGTATTCGCAAAAAGAAAAGCAGGACTTGTGGCACCTTAGAGACTAACCAATTTATTTGAGCATAAGCTTTCGTGAGCTACAGCTCACTTCATCGGATGCATGTAGCTCACGAAAGCTCATGCTCAAATAAATTGGTTAGTCTCTAAGGTGCCACAAGTCCTCCTTTTTAGGTATACTTAGTCCTGTTTCAGCGCAGAGGGATGGGGATGAATCTTGAAGTCTCTTCATAAAGTCAATCATAAAACATTACTATGATTTACTGCAGTAGTGTAGACCAGGCCAATCTAACTTACCCAACTTCGGTTACGCGAATAACGTAACTGAAGTCGATGTAGTTAGATCCACTTACTGAGGTGACGACACTGCACCGTGTCAACGGGAGAGCATCTCCCATCGACTTCCCTTAAGCTTCTCGGAGAGGTGGAGTACACAAATCGATGGGAGAGTGCTCTCCCATCGATTTAGCATGTCTTCACCAGCCCCACTAAATCGACACTTACATTGCAGCAGTTTCGATCTACTGGCAAGTGTAGACATGCCCTCAGGAGCATTGTAATGTGAGCATGTTTATATGAACTATCAGAACCCTTGGCTCTGCAATATTAGGCTAGAAGATTCAGGGGCACGAGTTTTCCTGTGAGATTCCTGGCACTTCCTACTTCTGATTAGACTGAAAGTATCACGAGAACCCCCTTTATCATGGAATACCTTTCCGTTTGCACTCTGATCCCGACTTCTCTTTCCACCTGTAATCTGTGGAACAAGCCAAACCATGTACTTTCTCCAGTATTCTCCTTTTCCAGCTCAGGTGTCTGGGTTTCCTTCCTCCCACCAGGAAGCCACAGCCAGGGCAGCACTACTTCTCTGAGCTGGTACAGGAGGGCTTGGGGAAATGAAGTTAACTGGTGAGAAGTTGGAATTCATTTTCTGCTACTCCCCCATCAGCTTGCTGCATTGTAACTTAACGGGAGGTGGGACGATGAAGAGCCGTAACTACCGCTGGGGTGTTCCAATGCTGTGAAGGGGTCACGGTGTTTGTACTTTGCATTAGTTTCTGAGCAAGGAGGAAATACCCTGTTTATTTAGGGTCAACCTCCCTGCCCTTTGGTCTCCCTTCCTCAGTTTCTTATTCTGTTTCACTCAGGCACCCCAAATATCCCCTGATCCTCTTCCTTGAGAGATGCTTGATGTGATGTAACTCTATCGGTGACTTTTTTCAATAACAAGCAGAAGGGAGCATTCTGCACAGCACAGGAACATGCCTGCTGGGAAATGCCTTTAGCCTGAAATTTTGGAGATGAAAAATCTCAAATACGTTTTTCCCCACCCCTCTGGTTTTGCTCTGTGATTGGAATTTGAAAATCAGCTGGGTGTGATTATTCCATCCAAACGGTTAGTGCTGCCCTGCTGGCTCAGGTTGAGCTGGGCTTGGAAGGTCTGATGACTAAATTCTGATCTGCATCACACCAACATTGGGTTCAGTGGAACTGCTCTGGATTTATGCCAGCATGGATGAGATCAGAATCTAGCCCCTGGACTATTGTTTCAGATCTTAGTTATTTTCTTTACTTGCAGTTGGCATAGAGATGGAATGCCAAATCCAAACCCCTTCAGACTTTATGGGTGAAACCTTGGCCCCACTGTGAAGCCAGTGGGAGTTTTGCCACTGAGTTCAATGAAACCAGGATTCTACCTTGTGGTTCTAGGGTTAGCTGTAAACTTGGCATGGTTTATCTCCACCCTAGAAGGAAACTTGGCATAATCAGTAGAAGAATTTCCTGCCATCCGGCATAGATTGCACTGAATAACACTGAGTTCATGCTTAAAAAATAAAGGCATTGTCTTCTGGCAGACGGGTGCATTTGAAAGACTCCAGAACTGTAAATGATCAGACCAGTTCTTAAAATCTAGTAGGATTAGTCACTACCAACACCACTGTTCCTTTTTTAACTTACAGAGCATTGAAAACTACATTGGTTTTGGTTGTAGGAGACTGGTAACATTTTAGATTAAAAATAACATGGGTCTTTCCTTTTTTAGATCAAACTTAGGCCACAATCTGTCAAAGCATTTCAGCACATCCTTGTCCTAAGCACATGAATAGACTCCCTGAAATAAATTGGGTTAGCCATATGCTTAAGTTCTCTGCTGGATAAGGGCCTTAGTTTCCAACCGTGGAAAGAGGCATTCATAATACCTGGATATGGACTGGTGAATTTACAGATATCCCTAGAGTAGATCAGGCTCTGATTCTATTTGCATCATTCAGCTAACTATGGCAGAGCATCTGTGGCAGTTCCTATTCACGCTAATTATTACAGGGAAATCAGGAGTTGGGAGTCCGTCGTAGAATTGTAGTTGTCCTGTGTTTAAAATAAGCCCAGAGTGTTTTGGAAAGATTGAGTTGTGACTTTCTGAATGTAGAGAAGAGCCCCATTTCTTGTCTCTGACCTTGAGCTGTAACTGTGTTCTTTCATGCAGCCATGAAGGCAGATCGAAAACGTTTGAAAGCAGAGAAGACAGACCTGGTAAGCCAAATGCAACAGCTCTACGCCACACTGGAGAGCCGGGAGGAACAGCTACGTGACTTCATCAGGAACTACGAGCAACACAGAAAAGTAAGCTCCTGCATAGCCAGTCCAGAATTATCAGACACAGATGAATGTGCTATGTTGGGGAAGAGTCAACACAGCTTTTGTAAAGGGAAATCATGCCTCACCAATCTGTTAGAATTCTTTGAGGATGTCAACATGCATGTGGACAAGGATGATCAAACTGATAATCGTGTTCTTGGACTTTCAGAAAGCCTTTGACAAGATCCCATGCCAAAGGCTCTTAAGCAAAGCAAGCAGTCATGGGAGAAGAGAGAAGATCCTCTCATGGATCAGTAACTGGTTAAAAGATAGGAAACAACGGGTAGGACTACATAGTCAATTTTCACAGTTTAGAGAGGTAGATAGCGGGGTCCTCCAAGGATCTGTACTGGGACCAGTGCTGTTTAACATCTTCATAAATGATCTGGGAAAACGGATAAAAAATGAGGTGACAACATTTGCAGATGATACAAAATTACTCAAGACAGTTAAGTCCAAAGCTGACTGCAAAGAGCTACAAAGGGATCTCACAAAATTGTGTGACTGAGCAACAAAATGGCAGATGAAATTCAGTGGTAAGTGCAATGTAATGCACATTGGAAAGCATAATCCCAAATACACCTACAAAATGATGGAGTCTAAATTACCTATTACCACTCAAGAAAGAGATCTTAGAGTCTTTGTGGATAGTTCTCTGAAAACATCTGCTCAGTGTGCAGCAGCAATAAAAGAAAAGCTAACTGAATATTAGGAACCATTAGGAAAGAGAGAAAAAATAAGACAGAAAATATAATGCCACTATATAAATGCATGGGACACCTACAGCTTGAATACTGTGTGTAGTTCTGGGCACCCTATCTCAAAAATGATATATTAGAATTGGCAAAAACACAGAGAAGGGCAACAAAAATTATTAGGGGTGTGGAACAACTTCCATACAAGTTGAGATTGGGACTGTTTCTATTAGAAAACAGACAACTGAGGGAGGATATGATAGAGAGCTATAAAATAAGGAATGGTGTGGAGAAAGTGAATAAGGAAGGAATAATAAGGAATTATTTCCCCCTTCCCGTCACACAAGAACCAGAGGTCACCCAATGAAATTAATAGGCGACAGATTTAAAACAAACATAAGGAAGGACTTCGTCACACAGTCAACTGTAGACTCATTGCCATGGGATGTTATGACGGCCACAAATATAACTGGGTTAAAAAAAACAATTGGATAAGTCCATCAATGGCTATTAGTCCAGATGGTTAGGGACACAATCCCATGTTCCGGGTGTCCCTCTGACTTCCAGAAGCTGGGACTGGATAACAGGCTGGATCACTCAATAATTGCTCTGTTGTGTTTGTTTCCTCTGAAGCCTCTAGCTCTGGTCACTGTCAAAGACAGGACACTGAGCTAGACGGACCATTTGTCTGACCCAGTAGGGCCATTCTGGTGTTCTTCGATTTTAGTTGTGTTATACTGTGGCTTCATTTTAGCTCAGACGTCGGTGTTTAACATAGTGTAAGTGATAAACTTTAGCTGTCAAAATGCAAAAATATTGTACATTTCTTAAACACGGCTGCCACATTTAAAGGTTCCTGCTAGAAAAAGCCCCCAGGCAGAGAGGGGTCAGGGTGGGAAATCATCCTCTGTGAGCCTGATTCCACCCTCAGAGTCCTCAGAGATGCCACTCTGCTGCATACTCTCCAGGATGTAAGGGTAAGGAGGTGTGGTCTGTGCATGTACAAACTCCAATCCACCACCAGCCATCACACACACAAACACCCCCTTTCCCCCTAGCTGGTGCAATCTATATCAAGGGAGCAGGCAGTCTGTTGCTGGTAACACTAGGGCTGCAGGATACTTTATCTGCAGATAGGACTCCTTGTTGTATCTGCAAAGTATATGAGCACGCACTTGGGTGCCATCTGCACCAGCAGCCTGTATCACACCACAAAGTCCACCTTCCCATGCTCTTGGGGGCTGCAGATTCCATCTCTCTCACATCCTGCGGACATGCTGATACCATTGGACTCAGTGGAAGCCTTTCCGTTGATATCAGTGGGCTCTGGATTAGGCTCTAAAAGCCATGACATCTGCACTATCCAAAGCAAGGGGCTGATCTCCTGTTGGCTCTCTCTGTACCACAGTCCTACAATGGCTTGTATTGAATCTGTGCACTGGCCTCTCTAAATTGTCCTGAAAACATTACCAGCCCACGCAGAAACTCTTTGATCGTCCCCATTGAAGTCAATGGCAAAAGTCCCATTCACTTCAGTGCTGCAAGATCAAGTCCAAAAATCTACTTGCGTTACTGTGATGAATGATGGTAGTGAAAAGACCTGGAGAGTTTTCACTCCCTGATCAAAAAAAAACTTATCTCAGGTGAGTGAGCAAATAAAATATTGTAAGGCAGCTGGCAATATAACTGTAGAAACTGGAGCACTAGTAAATAAATACAGGAAAAGGCAGGTCAATGAGCAAAGTTAGCAGCATTTGATTTAAGAGTATTGCTCAATCTATATCATGTAACAGATCGGACTGGAAGAAATCACTGAACCAATATGGTGTGCGCTCTTTCTCTCTCCTTGCTCAAGAGAATGAACCTTTACAACTGGTTATTTCAAGGACAGGTTTTATAATTGTCCTTAAAGTTAAGAGCTTGTTAAAAGAACTTACAAACTGCAGTGACTCTAGACTAAGTCGCTCAATAATAAATAACATTTCTCTGAAATGGTTTTCAGCATCTCTGCTCTGTTTGCAAGAGGATATATATATATATAGACAGTTTCCTGTTTTGCTTTTGATTAGGCTGCATAAAGCCATCCGCTCCAATAAACAGCCATGGGAATCAAACATCTGTAATTATTTTTTTCCATGCAAAGAGAGAAAGTTTCTATTTTTAAAGTATCATAACAAAGATCACTCGAATCCAGCTTTCAGCTTTTTCCAAAAGTTGTATTTTTCTTTCCTGCTCATATGAGAAAATCAATGCAATTTAAAAAACCGCAAAGACACGTGAGGGAGGAATGCATGGAGGAAGGCACGTAGGTTGGGGAGAGGCTCTGTGCGCTGATTATTTGCTTGCAAGGATGCTGGAGGTCTTATGTTCTCTGCAGCCCCTCCACCTGCTTCATCCAGACCTGCTGGTAGGATCTTTATGGGAGTCTTGGAGGCAATTCTTCCCTGGGGCCTGTGTTTGCAGAGAACTTAGGACATGTCCTCATTTCCACTCTGTGACAGGCAGCCTGCATATTTTCACCACTGTTTCGCTAGAGAAACGTGGTGTATGAAATAACCCATGAACTGGGGTCTGGGTGACTGACGTCGTCTCCTGTATTCATGGAGGAGGATCAAAGAGTGAGAGAAAAAGCATCCTGCCTCTTTCTTGTGCTTGTTCTCCAAGAGCATCACATGTCATTTCCTTTGAGGCCTGTGGAGAAAAGTTATTGCCACCCTGGTCTCGAGGACCCGCACCCATAGTCTGTAGCAGTGACGTAAGCGGCTTAGGTCTTGTCCACAGTGTGACTGGAAACCGTGCAATAACGAGGCTTGATTATCAGAAGTGTTGAGCATCCAAGACTCAACCTCAAGCTGGGGTCAGTGGGAGCTGAGGGCGTTCAGTGTTTCTGAACATGATTGTGGCTAGCAGCGGTTTTATCCTGTTTTCCCTAATCACCATAGAGGATCCGCTTATTCCGAAAGCTCTGTCGGTCAAACCATGCTATAGACTCTCACAACAGCATGGCTTTCAAACAAGTTGCCCAGGAAAAAGCACTTGTCTGCATGGCTGGGGAAACCACGCCCTCGGCAACAGAGTCTGAAGGCCGATGTTAATAGAACAGTTTCATGTGTAGTTTGGGGAAGAGCCAACAATGTTCCATCACAGTGGTTGACGGGTGATGCAAAACATCTGCCAGCTCTTCTCTATAAAAGTGTAGGGCTTCAGCCTTGCTCTGATAACAGCTGGGAGCGTGGAGGGGATTTCAGTGGGAAGCAGGACGGAGGGATGGCATTGCTGATGTTTGAAACGGATACCCTTTCCTTGTGTCCCCCGTATTAATTCAGCACTCTTTGGTCCAGTGCTATATGTGGAAGGACTGGCGCTGTTTGGCTGAGGTCATTAGAATTCTACATATATGCAAAGCTATTTATGTAGATGATTTAACTGGGAATTGGGATGATTTAACTGGGAATTGGTCCTGCTTCGAGCAGGGGGTTGGACTAGATGACCTTCTGGGGTCCCTTCCAACCCTGATATTCTATGATTCTATGATTCCATTGGTGAGGCGAGAACACTTCTGCCTTCATTACATGCAACGTTGGGGGTTTGTTTGTGTTTTCCTGAGCTTGGCCTTGCAGACACTGAAATGATCATTTGACTATGACAACAGGAACTGCTCTCTGAATGTCCCTTTAGCCATCCTGGAAAGGAGAGGGATGCACTGAGGTTTTCAGCAGGGCTAGAATGTAAAAAGAATCAGACTAGCTGCAAAGCATGTCCGCCTGGTCCTGTTTGGTATAAGCCACCACTCCCATGTACTACCACTTAGTCTGAGATTCCCAGGCATTTAGGCACCCAGTTCCCATAGGCAGTTTTGCAAAGTTCAGCCTTTGGGCTCGACCACATGCACAGTGACGTAAGGGGATGTAAGCAGTCCCCTTAGTCCCCGTGCATGGGCTATCTATGTTGCCAGACCCTGCATGGTGTCTGGGGAAGCAGTTGGTGCTGAACTGCTGATCCCACGCGGGTGGGTGGGCAGGGGGCGAAGGGCAGGCACAACCTTGGCTCCACCTTTTCCTCCTCTCTCCAGCTGAGCGGCCATGCAGAAGGAAGTAACCAAGGAAGCACCCAGGAGAAAGGCATTACAGCTTCACACTTCCCTTCCCTGCACCCCCTTTGTCCACTGGGCAAAGTACTCTATGCACTGCCCCCTATGTGGCCTGGGCTGTGAGGTGCCAAATCAGCCCTCAGTGATTTGTTCCCCGGAACGGGCATAGGTGGCACCAAGCTTCATGTCCCTCGACCCGTTCCCGGAGGAGCGGACTCTCAAAACAGCTGGACTTTTCTGCAGCTGCTAATCACTCAGTCACTAAAGCAGTGTCATGGGGAGGGATCCCTGGCAGAATGCAATACCCAGCATGCAAATGCAGCTGCCGTCTAGAGTCCTCTTTTACCAAAAAAATAATGGATTGAAAAGTGAAAAATACAGCCAGCAGGATGCACGGTGCCATTAGCACAATCACGTCAGTGCTGCTTTCGCCTCGCTGAACTAGTTTGCACCGGGCCATGACCACCGTCAAACTAATAACTTCGTCAGCTGGCATTCTGCATCAGCTGGGCTCCCAATCCTGCATGGCCTTGACAGCACAAGCAAGCTGGCTTGTGTGCTTTTTGTATCCAGGTAATTTCCCATCCAGCAGTCTCCTCCCAGGTGGCGCCGGGATCTCTTCTCATTGGCACAGGAACCTGAAGACAGTGTGGTCCAGTGGGCAGGGAACCAGAGTGGAAGTCAGGAGACTACAATTCAATTCCTGTCTCTGCCACAGACTCTCTGTCCTGAACCACATGACCCCACCATGCCTCAGTTTCCCCCCATGTCAAACAGAGATGATGGTACTTTAGCCGCCATTGTAAAGTACATTGAGATCTATGAATGAGAAGGGCTGGAGAAGGCCTGAATATGACTAATCTCCAGAAGCATAACAAAGCTCTCAAACCCAGAAAAGGAGAAGAGCCAGGGTTCCTTGAATCCCACTAGGGACTAGACTGTTGCCACCAAATTTTATGTGGCAGGTGCTCAGATACCACAATAGTAGGCAGGAGAGAAGAACCCAAAGACAGACAGACACAGATTAAAAACACAGAAAACTTCTGTATCTGTAGCAAAGCTGCACACAAAGCAGCTCCCACCTGTATTTTTTTTTTTTTTAATATTCGTTTCCTTGTAGAAACAGGGAATCTTTCATTTTTATTAAGCTCTGTTGGGAGCGATGAAGGGGGGATGGATTTCCTATGAGGCCAGTTCTCATATCACTGTATCCACAGAGGACAGACTAAATGTGCAATTCGGGAGGAGATACCACAGGCTTGTGTCAAACAGTAGAAAATGGTGCGTTTTCAGGACAGCTGGGCTTGTGAACAAGCCTGCCTTCGCTTTAGGTTCTTTGGCACCTGGGGTTAGCACTGGGGATTCTGTCTCAAGCAGCAAACTCCTTGCTTCTCTCCAGTGTTCGTTTCAGTGCTAACGTTCTGGTGAAACGCTGGTACTTCATTATGGCCACCCATGGGCTGCAGTGGAGATCTATTTTGCCCCACGGGCCTGGTCGGTGGCACTCAGATGGTCTCCAGGAGGGGTCTAGTCCAAAGTGTGGTAAAGAGACACAGGCGGTGAAAACCATCTCTTACTTTTGTTTGTTTGCCCTTTAGTTTTTCCGTGTGTTGCTTCTGTCCCTACTTATTACCCCTGACGCAGGCCTGCAGCTTCCTTACAACCCTCCCTATTCACCCCGGCTATAGGCTATGGTAGGAGAAGGTAAGGAAGAGATGAAACAGGAATAGTGAAGAGTTCCTGCTTGTGAAGAGAGGGGTGAAATCCTGGCCCCATTGAAGCCAATAGGAGCTTTGACATTGACTCCAGTGTGGTCATGATTTTGCCCAGTGTTTCTAATACAGGATAAAACGCTGCCCTGTGTTGCCTAGCATGGATTTCCTGGGGAAGCAAGCTGGGCCTGTTCTCTCATTCTCTGCCTTTGCCCTGGTGTCTTTGCAGGAGAGCGAGGATGCGGTGAAAGCACTTGCAAAAGAAAAGGATCTCTTGGAGCGAGAGAAGTGGGAGCTACGCCGGCAAGCCAAAGAGGCGACAGACCACGCTAGCGCGCTCCGCTCCCAGCTGGACCTGAAAGACAACAGAATGAAGGAACTGGAAGCCGAGCTAGCCATGGTGAGAGCCCTCCCGCCTGCATCGGTAGCTGGAGGCATTTGTTTAGGCTGGTGTGCAGATGGGGCACCTCTACAGTGCAGCTGGGAGGTGTAAATGCCAGCTCAGGAAGATGTTCACCTGCTAGCTAAAAATCATAGAAATGTGGGGCTGGAAGGGACCTCGAGAGGTCATCCAGTCCAGCCTCCTGCACTGAGGCAGGGCCAAGTAGACCATCTGTCAAGGTTCCTCCCCCACTCTGAACTCTAGGGTACAGATGTGGGGACCTGCATGAAAAACCTCCTAAGCTTATCTTTACCAGCTTAGGTCAAAACTTCCCCAAAGTACAAAATATTCCACCCGTTGTCCTTGGACTGGCCGCTACCACCACCAAACTAATACTGGTTACTGGGGAAGAGCTGTTTGGACGCGTCCTTCCCCCCAAAATACTTCCCAAAACCTTGCACCCCACTTCCTGGACAAGGTTTGGTGAAAAGCCTCACCAATTTGCCTAGGTGACTACAGACCCAGACCCTTGGATCTGAGAACAATGAAAAAACATTGTTTTTTTACAAGAAGACTTTTAATAAAAAATAGAAGTAAATAGAAATAAAGAAATCCCCCCTGTAAAATCAGGATGGTAGATATCTTACAGGGTAATTAGATTCAAAAACATAGAGAACCCCTCTAGGCAAAACCTTAAGTTACAAAAAAGATACACAGACAGAAATAGTTATTCTATTCAGCACAATTCTTTTCTCAGCCATTTAAAGAAATCATAATCTGACACATACCTAGCTAGATTACTTACTAAAAGTTCTAAGACTCCATTCCTGGTCTATCCCCGGCAAAGACCCAGCACACAGACAGACCCAGACCCTTTGTTTCTCTCCCTCCTCCCAGCTTTTGAAAGTATCTTGTCTCCTCATTGGTCATTTTGGTCAGGTGCCAGCGAGGTTACCTTTAGCTTCTTAACCCTTTACAGGTGAGAGGAGCTTTCCCCTGGCCAGGAGGGATTTCAAAGGGGTTTACCCTTCCCTTGATATTTATGACACCATCCCTGACAGGTGTTTGTCCAGCCTGTTCTTAAAAACCCCCAAAGATGGGGATTTCATACCCTCCCTTGGAAGCCTATTCCAGGGCATAGCTAGCCTTATAGTGAGAGAGTTTTTCCCAATATCCAACCTCAATCCCTTGCTGCACTAAGCAGCAGCTCAGGCTAGCTACCCATATACCATACTATCTGAGATCCTAGGGACATCCTTGAGCATCTAAGCCCAAGCAGAGCTAGTGTGTACAGGTACCCACTCTGGGAATTGCAGCTCCGAGCTGCAGTGGAGACATACCCTAGAAAACCCCAGCCAGTCCAGAGTCTCTGCCGTTACCATGAATTCTGTAGGGTTTGCTTTTGGTCTGATTTGCTGTGACAGCCCCTGCCCGGTGGACGTCTCCTGGCTGGACACTTTCACCTGAGCAGATGGTCGTATGTTTCTGGTCCAGCAAACCTAGACAGGCAGCCTTTCAAACCACCCTGGAAAGACACTGCGGTTCAGACTCTACAGTCATCCCAGAACCCTTGGCGATTCCCCCAGCACTTGTTATTTGGGGCCTTTGTGCCGTAGCAGCCTGTGATGGGAACTCTGTTTCCCAGCTGTTCAACAACCTGCAGCTTTCCCTGCACGCTGCAAAGCATGACTAGGCTGCGGAAGCACACTTGAAACCAACGTTGACCTGCTTGGGTGATCAATGATCTCATTTCATTAAGGGGGTTGCAATACCGACCAAAGATACGATTCCCACATAAGGACCCTAATTGCCTTCCAAAGCTTGCCAGGAAAAGCAAAAACAAAACAATCTCTTTGGAACCATTTTGTTTGTCTGGCTTCTCTGCAGAACGACATGGTGCTGGAAGCCTAAGGTGAATGTCATTGAAAGCAGGCACCCTTCTTACTTGTGTGTCTGTGACTCCTCAGCTGTAAGCTTCCCTGAGTGCCGTCTGGCCAATGAATTAAGTAGAGAAGGCAAAGAGTTGAAAGGGTGTCTGGCAAGCCTGGCAGGCTTCAGTATGAGATGCAGTTTCCTTCCGTGAAATACATATGGATGTCCCCATTCCCAGCTCATGCATGGGAGTGCACAGACCTCCCCGCCTATCGAGACCAATACCGCTGTGACTGATGCCTCTGAAAGGCTTAGAATTATCAAACAGGTGCAGACATATACCCACATCACAAGTACCCACCTGTCCCCACTGTAATACACAAGTTCATACGCCCCTTTACTTATACATACAGTGCTGGATCTATTCAAACACATACACGCAAGTGTATCCATAACCCTGTTCCTTCACCGCTCCAAGCATGTGTCCATGCACCCACCCCCTTGCCCGTGCCTCTGCCCATATTTGCCTTCATATTCTTCAGCATTTGGCTCTGAAATCATAAGCATGCTGGTTGTCAATTGCCTCCTGTGTTTTCACTGTTCAAAGCAAATTTCTGCCATAAAACCCAAATGACAGCTGGACATGCAGTCAGTTTTCTCCCCAGCTTAGAAATATTCCCTGGTATTAAATAGATACATCACAATTTGTTGTCCGTTGATTCACCTTGCGCTGCATAATTTCACTGTGCACAGTCACTGCCTAACTGCGACACCTAGTGTTCAAAGCTCCGTTGTCTCCAGAAGGCAGACTGGGTAGCTCAGAGAGAAGGAATATTGTGGATTCTCAACTAGCTGAGAAAGGAGTGTGCTTTACAGTAAAGGCAGCAGATCTCAGGAAAGGGCACTGTGATGATTTTTCTTCCCTTTATTGGACTGTCTGTTGAGAGCTCGATATTTCTATTGTTAGGCCAGAATTCGGTCACGTTTAATCACCATGAGTGGCACCTTGCAGTTAGCTCCATTGAAAGCAAGGGGGCTATTTGCAAAGGAAGGCATGACAGGTGAATTCACAGCAACCACCGTTTAGGGAAAGTATCTCTGTAAAGGAGCTTACAACTTTCAATCCTACCCAGTGCTTGGTCTAATCTGTTCTACCAAACTCCATTTAATGCTAAGAAAGTGACTCCCAAGTCCTGCTCTTATGCTGCCATTACAGCAGTGAGGAAAACAAAAAAACACACAGCACACACTGAATGTAAATATATGTATCGGTAAGTCTCGTGTATTCCACATCTCCAGTGTGTTTTGCTTTTGTGGAAAAGCCTAGGTAGAAGGGTTCCTGCAACAGCGTGTGGAATTTGCATATAAATACCCCATAACAGGCCACAGAAATAAAACACACATGGATCTTACACACTGTAAGGAGAGTGATCACTTTAGATAAGCTATTACTAGGAGGAGAGTGGGGTGGGGGGAGAGAAAACCTTTTGTAGTGGTAAACACCCATTTTTTCATGCTTTGTGTGTATAAAAAGATCTTCTACACTTTCCACAGTATGCATCCGATGAAGTGAGCTGTAGCTCACGAAAGCTTATGCTCAAATAAATTGGTTAGTCTCTAAGGTGCCACAAGTCCTCCTTTTCTTTTATCGATCTGAAAGGCAGTGGAACATTATGTACAATGGCCCAACTCAGAGAACATGCACAAATTGCCAGCAGTGCTGCTCCAGTTTAGGATCTGTCAGCATTTCCATTATAAAACCTGGTTTTCAAGGGTTCAGAAGTCAGCCTGGAAAAGGCCCTCCAGGATACAGCTTTGCCATGCACACAAGATCTCAGCCCGTAAGCAGTTTTTATTTTTTAAAAGCACATTTTCAACAAAATCCCCAGTTGAAAACGTTTAAAAGTGCTTTTCGACTGTGTAAACGTGTGTTCTGATGGTCCTCCACGTTTCCTGGGTCAAAGTCACTTCCACCTCACATGGGCTTGGTGTACAAGGAGACAGAGAGTTTTCCTAACTCCCTGCAAAGCCACCCTTGGCACAGAGGCCCAGATCCCTCAAGGGGAGTTAGGAGCCCAAATCTCTGAGGATTTGGGGCCTGAGTCTCCAAGTTGGCCTTTTCCCTTTTCACCCCTCACCTCCAAAGTTCTGTAGGTGGAACTCTGCCCTCTGCGAACCTGTACAACGCTGTTCCTTCATATCCTGCTCACCTATCTTACATCGGCACAACCCCCTGCTGTTTTCCAGGGGGCTTTGGCGAGCTGCTGGGTGAAATATCTGTTGGTTGATGTCCCAGCACTGAATGTGTGCACAATCGCCACAAATGGCTGCAACACGAAAGACTTGGTTCATTTCTCCAGATCTAAGGGCAAGCATCTACATCCTTCAAGTGAGGAAACAAGGCACCTTTTGGACTGCGGAGACAGTGATCAGATCACAAGCATACTTGCTGGTTTAACGTCCAGTAAGCAAACACCCCTGGATTACAGTCAGACTGGCAAGCTGATAACTTGCTGCCAATAAGGCAAACGTGTCTGAGCTGGAACTCAAATGAGGTACTAAGGGCTAGACCCTCCCCTGGTGAAAATGGACATAGCTCTACTGAAGCCAACAGAGCTATGCTGGAGATTTGGCCCTATTAATGTTTTAATAATTAACAAAAAAGAGCAATTCTCTGAAAAGCAGAGCACCTTTAAAGCAATGCATCTCAAATTCTTATCCCTGGGCGTTAAATAGTTAACAAAACAAAACACACCTATCCGACTATGTTTGTTATCTAACAGATATTCTTGTCTCACTGTGCTATAAAAGTTGTAAGCTCCTTTACAGAGATACTTTCCCTAAACGGTGGTTGCTGTGAATTCACCTGTATAACACCAATGTTATTAAGCTTGATTACCCATAACACACTATAAAATCTCTAGCTTTATTCCTTAAATATGAATGACTCCGGGCCCATTCTTCCACCTTTACTTAAAGAGGGAATCGGATGCATCAGAGAGTTTGGGCTTTGTTTTTAATCCTACTGTATCACACAGTCTCTCTTTCCCTGCTTGTAGTCAGTGGGAATGGACTATTGCATAGGGAAGTTGAGTATTCACTCCAAAGCTACAAAAAAAATAGGTCGCGATTTGACTGGTTTTTTTCTTCCTCTTTAGTTTTTAAAAAGTGAATCCCTTACCAATAATCGTTCCTCCCCATGGACATGATCCGGAGTCCGTCAAAGGGAAGACTCTCATTGACTTCAGTAGGCTTTGGCTCAGGCACGTAGGAGCTGATCCTGCACCCACTGACTCCACTGAGAGCAGGATTGGGCCCCAGAGGTCTTGTGTGTAGCTCCTGGTTTGTGGCTTGCGTGTCCTGCAATGCAGTGTTTGGGGTGTTCCCCAAAGAAACCCATTGCGAGACTCGGGCAGAGAATGGGGGTGCATGGTATGTTGCTGCTAGCAGCTCTGTCTGTACCTTAGGAGCAAATTCATGCCCTCCTTGTTCCTCTGGACCAAAGGCACCACATCATTTAAGGCAACAGTCAGTCTTGGTGTAGACCCTGATCCTTTAATCTGATCACTGACATACCTCGACACCTGCATAGAGTCCCAGGGAAGTCAACAGGGCATCACACGGGCATAAAGGGACCACAGGCAGGGATCAAAATGCAGGATTGGGCCTTTAATAAGTGACACCTTGAGGGACTGGAAAAAACCCAGCCAGCCTATGATTTCCAAGGCACTTTAGAACTGTGGAAATATTCTGTGTTTTCCTAGTTATGAAACATCAAGTGAATCATGGGAGCTATTCTCTGCTGGCTAATTAAAAGGTACCGTCAAGCAACTGGCACCTCTTTAATGAGAATTTTTAAATTATTTTTACTTTGTAGATGCTTCTGTTTAATTTTTCAAAAAAAACAAAATATTGAACAGGGGGAAAGCGTCCCTCTGAGCCTGCCAAGTCCACTGGGAACAGCAGAAGAACCAATAGGCCTGTTTAACACATCTGAGCCAAAGCCAACCGCTGACTACCTCTGTGTGCCTTTGCCTTTCTTCATGAAATTTGGCACGGCTTACTGTATAAATCACTGGCTCCTGTATTTGCAGGAACAGCTATTTCAGTTTTTGGTCCAGGTTTCTCTCGAAGGTAAATCATACGCTAACACGTTGTTGTGCTGTTTTTGTTTTCTTTGTGATGACCAAATAGGCTTGACTTCAACTGGCCGGCCTACCCCCAGCTCAATCATTCATGCTTCGTCTTACCTGGTGGCTGCAGGAAAGTTGGGGCTGGCTTCCCAGCTCCCAACAAGTGCATGTTCTGTTTTGCACTCAATCAGATCTAAATGGTAGCTGCTTGCATTTTGAAATCCTATTATTACAACATTGGCAGCACGCAGATCCCCCAGAAGAGTTAATTATCAACCATGGTAAAAGAAACCATGTCTTCTGGAAGGATTTAACCCTAAGAGCAGCACTTATGGCCTATTCTCTTCTTGGAGTGTGAAACTGACCTCGTGCGTTGTTAGCCCCTCTGCACAGGGGTGGCTTGATCTCATTGCAGTCCAAGTGCTGCCTTGAGAGAAGTGTTTCATTGTCCTGTATTTTGTTCTTTTATCCCATCAGGCCAAGCAGTCCTTAGCCACGTTAACCAAGGATGTCCCCAAGCGTCACTCATTAGCCATGCCAGGTGAGACCGTGTTGAATGGGAATCAGGAATGGGTGATGCAGGCAGATCTCCCGCTCACAGCTGCTATCCGGCAGAGCCAGCAGACGCTTTACCATGCGCACCCCCAGCACTCAGCAGACCGACAAGGTGAGCTCCAAGCCAGCCGCTAACCCCCTTGGGAAATCTCTCTGATCTCATCTGCCTTTAATACAATGGCATTCTTGATGAAGTCGAGCACCTCCTTGTTCCAGCAAAGGGTTAGTGTTGTGTGTTGTGGCAGGAAGGGAAATAAAGTCCAGTAGCTTGGTATGACTCCGCTCCAAGGAGAGGCAGGTATAGGAGAAAGATTTAAATACATATGAGCGTTCTGGAGGCACAAGGCCAGGTCCCCAGGGTGCAGCTTCACTGGAGCCAGTGTATCTATGCCAGTCGACACCTGCTGAGGATCTGGCCCACAGGCTTGAGCCAACTTTGATCTGAAGCTTAACAGTTTCCCTTTTGAATGTCAACAATTCTCATTCCTTTTAAAATGAGGGTTTATCTTTAGCACTGAGGATTTTCACCCCTGTTTCCCCTCTTTCAGATGAGGTGTAAACCTGAGGCCTTGGGGTCATTGAAGTTTTAGGATTCTTTTGAATCCCAGCTAAGACAAATTACATTCTGCCTCCTGCGGGATCCAATGGATACACAACGTTCTTTGTTACTTCCTGTTCCGAGCAATTATGCAGTGCCCTGTAACAGTTGCCACCTTTCACCCCAGAGGCTGGCTGAGTTTCAGTGGTTGGGATGATGTCATCCTCGGCTCTCTCTTTCCCGTCTCCTCCAGATGTAAGGCTTAATCGAGGCCTACCTGTAAAGCCCGTGGAGGTGTTTGGAGAAGGGGCGCTGCGGGAGGGTGAGGGATGAGCTGGTTCTACCCTCTGTGGGACAAGTCTCTCCCGTGTTTTGACAAGGGCGTGTAAGAAACCTGACCAGGTCTCAAAATACAGATTCAGACCCAGGCTGCATAACCTCACCTTCCCCTGTGGCTTCAGAGTCCAGCTCTCTGCCAACTGGGTGGCCTGCTGAACTAATCCCCTTTCAGGGAGCAGCTTTAACTCTGCTTCAGAGCAGCAGCTGGAGTAAATGGAGGCTGATCTCCCCACTCTCTGCCTTCCACTCTGCGGTGAACTTGGGCCAGGGTTTTCCAAGCCGGGGGCATAGAGTTGGGCATCTGGGTAAGGAGCCCGACTTTCCAAGCAGCCACAGCTTCTAAGTCAATGGGAGCTCAGCACTTCTGGAAATCTGGGTACCGGCTTAGGCACCCCACAATTACCTGTGCTGCAGTAGCACATTAAGGCCCACAATGAGATCCGGGCACTGTACAAACGCATAGTAAGAGAGAGTCCCTGCCATGTAGAGCTTTACAAGCTAAATGGATTGAGCCGCCGACCTCATTGGCCTCGCTGGAGCCTACACTCTCCTGCTTGAGTGCTTTGCTTTGCCCTCTTCGCTTTGAATTCTAAGCTACCCTGTGTGCTCTCCCTCTTCCAATAACCTCCACAGCCCCACAACTGTCTGCACCCAAATCCCAGGTCTCGGGAAGCAGCAGTTCCCAGCCTTTCCTGAGAGGTGATCTCAAAGGCGTCAGTGCCTCGTTCCTTTAAGCCAGGGGTGGCCAACCTGAGCCTGAGAAGGAGCCAGAATTTACCAATGTATGTTGCCAGAGAGCCACAATAATACGTCAGCAGCCACCGTCGGCTCCCCCACCCTGCTCCCAGCGCCTCCCCATCCCTCCACGCACCTCCTGATCAGCTGTTCCGTGGCGTGCAGGAGGCTCTGGGTGGGAGGAGCGAGGGCACAGCAGGCTCAAGGGAGGGGGCAGGAAGGGGGCGAGTGGGGGGCAGGGCCTGTGGCAGAGCCAGGGGGTGAGCAGTGAGCACCCCCCGGCACACTGGAAAGTTGGTGCCTGTAGCTCCAGCCCCAGAGTCAGAGCCTCTACAAGGAGCCGCATATTAACCGCTGAAGAGCCGCATGTGGGTCTGGAGCCACAGGTTGGCCACCCCTGCTTTAAGCCCTGAAAAGACAGATCAGGGAGGAGGATGCATTTGCTCAGAAGTCAGCAGCGAGCATCATGCTGCAAAGGAATTTGTTTGCAAGCAGAAGGGCACCTGCGCCCTGCCATGTCTGACCCTGTGCAAAGCCGTGAGAGCTCAGGGTCCAGCAAGTCTGCTGCCTCCAGGTGCCTGTGGCATGGAACTGCACGTCCATGGGCTGCTGCTGGTTTATAATATTCTCTGGCAGTTCAAGGGTTGCCCTCGCTCTCAGCAGCAGGTGAAACACTGCAGCACTAGATAATCTGTATCTGGGACAAGGATGCAGCGTTCAGGGAGTCTCCTCTTCTCACCCCTTAGTACAAACACTCCAGTAATTGCTCAGAACACGAGAGTGACACTGCTCTAACGCATGAGCTGTTATTGCAGCACACGGTAGCATCCCAGTGTCCTTCATACAGCTATCGGGGGTGATCGCAGTCTGCCTCTGTAAATCCACACACACCCCTGCAATTTTGGCTTCATACGGCATGCTTCCTCACTACCGTACCTGTCCTGCAGGGCTGTGAAACAGCTGCCACGTTCAAGGCCATCGGTGGCTGCCCTGTAGTGATGGGTGACTCCAGGAGATTTTCAAAGGAGCCTAAGGGAGTAAGACACCCAGCTCCCAAGATTTAGGTATCTTACTCTCTTAGCTGCTTTTGAAAACCTCTGTCAGCGTGTTTAGGAAGCACTTTGGGATCCAGATTAAAGGTCTGTTCTCAATAAAAGGACATTATCCTTCCTTCTCACATGGCATGGATAATACCTGGGCCTGGATGGGCCCCAAGGATCCCATTTTTAACAACAATAATAATCTTTGCTCTTCTGTAGTGTTGCTCACCTGGGGATCTCAAAGCACTTTACAGACGTTAATGTATCGAAGTGACTGTTACTTTCCTCATTTTACAAGTGGGGTACCTGAAGCCCAAACGTTAAAGAACTTGCCTATGGCCACACAACACATCTCTGTCACAGGCAGACATGGCACCCAGGTGTCCTCACAGCCAGTGCTGTGCTCAAACCATTGTCTGTGCTGGAGTCGTCCGGCACAAGAGAGCTTCATTTCAGTGGCTTTCATGCTCAGGGACTCACCAAGGAAAGTGAATATTGGGATGGTCACTATTGTCTCAAACTATTGAGTAGAATTCTGGGTACGCCTGGGGAGCCCCCACCACGGGTAGGAAGGATGGAAGAAACTAGTAACTTATTAGCGCGTGTCATCATCTGAAATGTAAGAAATTCCAACAAAAAATGTTTGCAGTCATATTAGACCTACAAACTTCTAGGGTGAGTTGTTTTAAAAGGACAATATCAAGAGTGGTTGTTTTTAAATATGTACATTTAATCTTCCCGCTTTACAAAGATCCTCATAAATTAGCGATAGATTAAATTCATTCAGCTTTCACCATGAAATTAGTCTGGTCAGTTTCTGAGTCTCCCACCACAGGACCGTGCTTTGGGGTTTGACTTCACAATATTGCAAGGGACTGCCTGGATCTTAAAAGAAAACCTGCAACATTTATTAATGTTTCTATTTATCCTTTCTGTCCTTTACCCACCAAACCTAACTATGAGGCGCAAACTAAACTGATCATGTTTCTTTGAGCAAACCTCATTCCATGTGGGGCCGAAGAAAGTAGTTATATGATTTAGCTTTGATTATGAAGATGCTTCTCCCTTTGGCACAAGTTGTTACCCATCTAACTAATTATCATAGAATATCCGGGTTGGAAGGGACCTCAGGAGGTCATCTAGTCCCACCCCCTGCTCAAAGCAGGACCAGTGTCCAACTAAATCATCCCAGCCAGGGCTTTGTCAAGTCTGACCTTGAAAACCTCTAAGGAAGGAGATTCCACCACCTCCCTAGGGAACCCATTCCAGTGCTTCACCACCCTCCTAGTGAAATAGTGTTGCCTAATGTCCAACCTAGACCTCCCCCATTGCAACTTGAGACCATTGCTCCTTGTTCCGTCAGGGCCTAAATAAAGAGGGGAGACTAAGGGCAGGTAGTGATTGGTGGGTAGTGATCGATCTATCAGGGATCAATTTATCGCATCTCGTCTAGACGCGATAAATAGATCCCCGAACACGTTCCTCGTTGACTCTGGAACTCCAGCTCCCGTGAGGCGGAAGCAGAGTCAACGGGGGAGTGGCAGCGGTCGACTCACCGCCATCCTCACCGCCAGGTAAGTCGACCTAAGATACGCCAACTTCAGCTACGCTATTCGCGTAGCTGAAGTTGCGTATCTTAGGTCGACCCCCCCCTCCCTGCCCAGTGTAGACCAGGGCGAAGAAACTTTATAGATAGGGAACAGAAGCACAGAGAAACGTAGAGATTTGCCCAAGCTCACGCAGTTAAGTTGTGGCAGAACTGGGACCTGAATCCAGGTCTCTAGTCCAGTATCTGAGCCATCGCACCCTCTCTATCTCTGCAGCTGCCCCTCTAGAAGTTACAGGCAGGACAGTAGATCTGTGGTGTTATGCTGTGGGCTAAAGCATTCATCCAACACCCCTGCTGGCGACTGTCCGTGTATAAACACAGCACTAGGGAGAACCAAATTCACAGACTGAGAATGGTGTAGTATCCGAGCTAAAGCAGGGAGGGCATGGAGATGAAAATACTAATGCCACTGAGCCCTAACTCTGCTCCTTGCCTTCCAGCTGTCAGAGTGAGTCCGTGCCATTCACGGCAGCCTTCCATAATCTCCGATGCATCGGCAGCAGAAGGTGATAGGTCATCGACGCCAAGTGACATCAACTCGCCCCGGCATCGGACGCATTCCCTCTGCAATGTAAGGCAGTTGTGAGGTCGTTTGTGACTCCTAAAGCTGTCCTCTTAACCTCCGTGCCAATGTTTCTAACCCTAACCATCACTCTTACCTGCTTGTCTTTTGCCACCCCTTCTTCTGGGGCCTGAACCAAAGCCCACCAATGACAAGGCAAAGCCTCTCACTGGGCTTTCAATCAGGCTATAAATGTAAATCCTGTGTTTGAATGGAACTTAAAACTACCCACATACCAACCAGGAGCTGATTCTACACTGCCTAACTCTGTGTGCTCACTTGCAGCTCTGCAAAGTGAGTTTCCCTGGCTCCCAGGGTGGCTGGGGCAGTGTTTTGCTCTCACTTTGCACTGGTGGCCACGCCCACACAAAGTACGAGGCAGTGGGGGAATCCAAGTCCCTCTTTTCAAGAGCTGTGCAAAAATGATGCATCTCTTATTTTAGTAAAACGTCCTGAACAAACAACTATCATTTTGTGCCAGGCCATTATTTTTGCAGCCTGGAACATTGATTGAAAAGAGGTTTATTGAAATGGCAGTTTTCCTAACTAGACATTCGGAATCTCTCAGGTTTCCAGGGAAGGAACAAGCTTCAGCAGAGCGAAAATTTAAAAATTTACAAACGTACTTAAAAACAGGCCCACGTCTGAGCTGGACCTGGACTGAGACTTTGACAAAGTGTTTCTCCCCTCGGGCTGCAATTTTATAGGTTTTGATTGAGTAGGTGCAAAGCTTTAAAGTTTCTCATGTTGTGACACCCCCTTGCCCTCCCCAATCAATCAAAATTGAGCCACATAGACCGACTTTCACGTTCCTCTGAATCAAACTTGAGAGCTGTGAACCCACATGAGTCAAAATGAAAACAGTTTGTCAAACTCCCTGTGAACTGAGGCTACCAGCCACAGTCCCTGGGTAAACCACACACCTGCAACACTGGGGACAGATCCTAGCAACTTCCTCTCCAAAAGCATAGCTGTGAGTTTAAAGGAGAATCTCCATTAGTGAACAGATTTAGGGCTGATACTTTCCTTAGCCACCGGAGGGAGACATGATCTCACACACCGAGCTGGTGTAAATCCACATTTCTACTCTCCTTTTAGGCTGGTATAAATCTACAGTAATTCCATCCGTGAAGTTACTCTTGATGTATAACCGTGTAAATGAGAGCAGAATTTGGCCCTTTGCATTCCACTTTTTTTAATTGGGGGAGGGGAGAAAAGAGAGAGCTTCTGACCTGAGAGCGGCAGCCTTTTCTACTAATGAAAGAAGCAAAGACAGAGAGGCCAGGAGTCTTGCTTCGGTATCAATAGAATTGATTTAAATGACTGGAGCGACAGCATGGAAGAGAATATTTCAAAGTTCAATGGAGAAAATAAATTGGAAGGTGCAGGAAATATCCAGAAACATTGCAATGGGAGAGCAGAGGGGTTATACGGTTCATAATTAAGATGTCCTGGCTAATAGATGCAGATAAATGTAGCTTAATTCTAGGAGCGGAGTTCAGGGAGTGAGCATTTGCCAGATAAGAGAGCCCTGCTGACTAAGGCAACCATATAGGAATGAGAGAACAATCTCCAAGCCCCTCAGGCGATTGCCTCACTGCAATGAAAGAGAGAGAGATGGGGGGGGGGGGTGTCTGCACTGTGCAGTCAGAAGAACAGTGTGTGAGGACTGTCTGGTTCAGTGTATTGATAACAGACTCTTTAGCTGTGGTCACCAATTAAAATCCAGCTCACATCTGTAAGGCAGCATCTGATCGCTCTCAAGTGACCTTTGTGAAATGAGGGGGTAGCGTTTGTCTCACTCCTAGAGACATTGGCATCTCCAAAGCTCCCCCCTCACAGCTGAGGCTCACCGAGCCTCTTGCTGGCAGGGAGACCAATGGGGTGTGTGGCACAAGCTCTCTCTTAGGGCTTGTCTGCACATGAAAATTAATCCTGAATAAGGTACGGTATGAATTTAAAGCAGATTAACTATTCCTGATTCCCGAATACAGGCTTGTCTAGACCAGCAGTTCACAGCAAGCTGGGATGTAAATCTACCTATTTCTAGCCTGCCAGGCACTGTGTCCAAAATAGACCCTGCTGCTGGGCACCAGCAGTTCCTTGGTGTGCTTTGAGCTGCCCCTCTTCGAAATGGGAGCAGATTAAAGTGCATTAGGGAACTTTCAGTGCACGACAGCAGAGTTCAGACTGCCAGTGAGTGTGCAGCAGGCTAGTGCGAGGTAGATTTTCACCTCAGTTTACCATGCACTAACTGTTTGTGTAAACAAGCCCCAAGAGTGCCTGCTGCCAAGTTAGTTTAAGGAGCTTTACTACAGAAAGGACCAACTGGCTTAAACTAATTCACAATAAAGCACTCTTATTCTGGAATAAGGGCATCCACACACGGCATTAATCAGGAATAATACCTAATCTGGAATAACTTGCTGTGGAGACAAACCCTTAGAGCTAACTTCTAGTGAGCAGATTTATTTGTGTGGCTTTTTTAGTTTGACAGTTATGCTTTCACGTTGGCTGTTCCTCCCATTTGAAATACACACACACACACACACTCCCCCGATGGTGCTTCCTAGCTGGGTCTAAACACAAATGGGCAGAATATGAGGCAGCTTCCCAAATCCTTGTGCGAGCTGATAAGGCCATTTCCCATTGAGTTCTGGACCACTCCCGCATAAAGCATCCAGCACCCTGGCAGTGCTGTACAAATAATAATGATTCATTACTAATTGGTAATAGTCAGGCACATCCCTCCTCGTTAATGAGGGGCTAGCTTCAGTCCTCCTCGTTACATTTTTGCTTGACCAATTACCTCCAGTACCTGTGGCATTTGAATCAAGATACCAGTCAGAGGGGATCTGAGTTCAGGGAGCAGATCTCAGTCTAAGGGAGCGTAAGCTGGTGTAAACTCCATGCTTAGGGGGCCAGAAGAGAGGGGTGTAATAAAGAGCTGAGAAGTGGTAGTAAAGCAGACCCATCTCCACACCAATTTGGTCACTTGGCATGTCTGTTTCACCAATGCATGCTCCTTTCCACCTGCTCACCAATGTGTAACTTAAATCCATTGCCTTCAAACCTGGCCTGACATGAATTAATGTTACAGTCTGTGGCATTTCCTATACCGGTCCAGAACCAATGGCATTAGCCCCGTGCCAACAGGCAGAGGCAGACCAACTGGGAACAGCATAAATGGTGGCTCCAGATTAAATTTTTCCTCTTTAGTTCCTTGACCTGTCACCCAAAGGGGAAAGGCACCTGGACCAAAATGTCTGCATTTGTCTGGATTTTATTTTTGTTACTAATGTGGGAGTTGGGAGGGTGCGTCTGGGCCCCGAGAAGCACCCCGAAGTTCGGGTGTTTCTCAGACATTTCTCTGGTTTGCAAAGATGAGACACAGGTGCAGGAGTCATAAGAACAAAGGGTTATATGAATCTTGTCTCGGTTCAAGGAAGTTTGGTTGAGTTCAGCAGATTCACCCTTCTTTATTCTGAGATTCTGACTTTTCCAAAACCATGTTTGAATTTCACTCTTGGTTGCCCTTAGCCTAGTCTACGTGGCTATAAAATAACAGGGGACATACAGTTTTACCTGCGTCAGCATGATCTTCTTTTCCCAAACCCCTCTTCTCCTTCCCCAAAAGAATTGGCTTCAGCATTAAACAGCAGCAACTTTGCACCAGCTAATGCTCTGAAGCCCAGAAACAAGCAGGATCCCCAGAGAGAGAGCTCCTGGCTGGGCATTTGTATCCCTGGGCCAGTTTTCCTCTAACAGTGCTGGGTGGTACTAGGGCTGTGTTTATGCTGTTTCAATGTGATCTGTCTCCTTCTACCGGTAGGGGGATAGTCCTGGCCCGGTACAGAAGAACTTGCACAACCCAATTGTACAGGTAGGAAACCAATTGCCTTTCTTGACCAATCTCCTAGTGAAATACAGTTTACTAGTGCACAGCGTGGCTGATGCACACACAGGGTGCAGAGGCTTGAGTCACGTGCCATGCCTAATAGGTACATTGCAAGTCTATAGGTAGACCACAACTGGTAACATCTGTCAGTTTTGGAAATGGGCCTGAATCAAAACTCTGGATTTGAGCAGCCCTCAACTTTGGATCCAGAGCCAAACTCTCTGACCCCGGCCCAGCTGTAGTCGAGGAGGTGGGAGAGAGTAGTCGATATAGGGAATAGCAGTTGCCTTTTCCAGAGAGGGGGAGGGACCCACAGGGTCATATGCAGAAGAGTCCAATCTGGTGTAAACTGCACTTTCTGCCAGCTGCTCGGTATCTGTTACGCCAACGTAGGCTACGTCTACACCAGGAGCGAGGGGGGGGTGATTGGCAGCTCGCATTAGACACGCTCCTGCTAGCTCAAGGAGCCACTAGCGCACGAAAAGGAGCATAGCCCTGGCAGACCAGGCAGGGGCAAGCAGCAGCATGAGCTCGCTATGCTGGGTTCAGGCAGCTGGGTGCAGAACGGTGGAAACAAAAGTAACTGAGGCTTTGTCTACATTAAAGAAATTTGCAGTGGCGTAAGTAAATGATGTGCTGCACCAGCCTCACGCAGGGCTTCATCTGATACATCATCATCCTGTAACATCCCCCATTAAGCTGCAGCTGGGGAGCCAGATACCTTAGGGGCTTGCACTGGGTAACTGCATTGAAATAGCTACGCTGTTGTAAATGTCCTTAGCAGACAGGACCTTAGACTCATTCCGCACCAGCCATTTGCACAGATTTACCTCTTCTGGAGTGAGACACTGGTGCTGGCGTTTGCTCCTTGACTTAGTGTTTTTTAACTTCAAGACACTTTATTTGGAAAGAAAGTTTCAAGTAAACCACACCTTGCGGTCTGAAAAGCAAAAGCAATGGCTGATCTGTCTCCAGTTTAGAGCCCGCTGCTACTAAAGAAAAACAAGAGGGGAGAAGGTTGATGAGAGAGAAGAAACGGTTAAAACACCTCCTTTAGACTCAGAGATTTCCCTTCACAAGGGTTTGTGTGAACATCGCCCATGTGGATTCACACACCTGGGGGTTTGGATTGCAGATGGGCCTGTGCCCCAGCTATTCCTGAACTCTGTGGTCTTCCAAATATAAACGAGCCGCTCCAAAACCCAGGTCCAAACACCGACACCCCCGTCCCCCAGGAATACTTGTGGTGGTCAAAATCCAGCTGTAATAACTTTGACCCAGATCCCCAAAGGTATTTAGGTTTCAATGGGAGTTAGACACCTACATTCTTTTGAGGATCTGGGTTTTAGAGTCCTGTCTCTGGTTTGAGTAAACCCAGAGCTTCAAGGCAGACCTCAGTCAAACGACTCTCCTATTTTACCCGCAGAACCCCCCTCACTAAGCCCAGTGTGAAACCTGGTCCCCTTGAAGTAAGTGGCAAAACACCCACTTCCGAGGGTGAAATCTTGACTCCACTAAATCCTCCCAGGTTTGCTCAAAAGTTTCCATAGGCTTTCTGACAAAGGGGACCAAGTTTTGAGCTTGTTCTGTCTGGCTCTAGTGTTCTAGCCTAGGTTAAAGAACAGGTCGGTGAGTCCATGGGGTTATGTAAAAGCACATCCAGCTAGGCTACATTCTGTACAAAGCAATGCACCTGGATTTAAGAAAACAAGTACTTCCATCCTATTCATCTGCAATCCTCTCCCCAGTTTCTCTGTAGCATCCTTCCACTTAAAACTCCACTCTGGCTCCCATTGAGTTGAAGGAGTCTTTTGCTACAATGAGAGCAGGCTCAGATCCCACTTCCTTAGGCTGAAGTTGGTTGCTTTTGGATTGCAGGAAAGGGGGTTATTGGGGCTGGATTCTTTTCCCCTCACTCTGGTGCTGGAATTTACTAGACCCTCTTGCCTTTTCACAAAGTACTATTAATTTTAATAACATCTCCAATGCATGGATACTATGTAAATACATATTATGGTTATTTAGGATAAGAGACGTCCAGGTACAGGGTCCAAACCAAAGCCTAGTTAGCCTTCAGTGACATCAGATTAGGCCCTTATTAATTTCTTCACATTTTAAAATACACCAATAGGCACCTACCCTCTGCTCAGGGTGCCTAACCTGTAAGTGAAAAATTACAACATAGACAGGCCAGGGACAGCCCATAAACATCTCCACCTCAACCCACAGGCTCCTTACCAGCTTGCCTGGAAGAGCAACAACTCCGGGCTCTTGTGGACCCGAAGGTGGGGAGCAAATTCCAGAATTGAGGGCCCCCGCCAGCAGCCCCTTCTCATTTACATTACGGGAGCTCCAGCTTGAGCGCTTTTGCTGATTGTGTAGGCATTCTCCAGAAGGCCTGGACCATCCCCCTGTCCTAGTTATCAAGGCTGAGATATTTAAAGCCCCCAAAGGAATTTGGATGTCTGTGTATTTCCCAGTCTCTTAGATGGAGATTTTTGAAAGTGACCCATCTTGGCGTTTTAGCCGGCTGCTCATCACCATAGCATCTGGGCACTTTCCACATAAAACCAATAGCTATAGCAGTCCTCAGTGGCCTCCATGGAGTCTCTGGATCGTCTCCTTTCCCTCATATGGTTCCTGCCCCACCCCAGCATCTAAGCACCTTCTCTCCCCAGGCTGTTTATTGTCGACGCTCATGTTATTTCCCCTTCTTTCTTCTCCCTCCGCTTTGCAGTCTCTAGAGGACCTCGAAGACCAAAAACGAAAAAAGAAGAAAGAGAAGATGGGGTTTGGTTCCATCTCCAGGGTATTTGCCAGAGGGAAGCAGCGGAAATCCCTAGACCCGGGCCTCTTTGATGGTACTGCTCCCGATTATTACATAGAGGAAGACGCAGACTGGTGACCCTTCCCCTCCCCAAGCTGGTAGCTCGCCTCCTTCCTCTGCTGCCGGTGTGCGTGCGTGGGTGGGTGTGTGATTGTGTGTGCGTGGATGCATCTAACTAAAAAAGGAAGTGAGCCTTTTCCCTCTGCGTCGCCACTTCTGTAACTGATGTACGTACTACAAACAAAGCCTGTGTGTGACTCTGTTAACTGTTGTCTTTGGAGCGATGCAGTTGTGTTGTAATCCTCTCGTTTTGTTTCTCTTTTTTGTTTGGTTTGGTTTCTTTTGGTTTTTGATTTTTATTTTTTTCTTCTTAATGAAACTTGAAACTTGAAGGACTGCTGTGTACTTGTAAATAACAACAATATTGTGCACTTTGTGCTTGTGATGTCTCTTGTCCAAAAACCGCTGTTTTCTTGAGCCCCTCATGTTGGTGCATTCTGTATCTGGCATGTTCTAAAAGTTGGGGGTTGGAGGGGACAGTGTCCTATTCACAGGGTGCACCTGAGTTACAAATACCGTTAGGCTCTGCCTATCCAGAAAGACCTTAAAATCTCACTCAGTGCGACGTCTTCCTGGCCAAAATCTCAGGAGGCAACACTGTTCTCTTCTTAATGCCTGCCAGCCTGGAATGATGGTTTAACTTTCCTTTGATTGTTTAGTTTAATTTATTTGCGCAAATCCAGAAGAGCTATTCTAACTAAATTATTACATACAGATTGGAATTTATATTTTTCCACAATGGTTTGGATGGGGATGGGAGGGTGTGTTTATACCGAACTGTTCTATTAAACTGCTGCCTGCAGAGCTAGGGTAGGATTGGGTAGAAGCTGAGCGAATCCATTTTTCTATTTGTCTTGGTGGGTTTTTTTCCAAATGAATTTCTGTTGCATTTCTGTCTCTCGTGCTAATATGGTGTACGTTCCCCTATCCCGCAGTCAATCCAGACAGCAGGATCGGGGAGCCAGATTGCTATATAGGAAGTATAACCAGGTCAGATATTTACAGATATCTTTATCTAAAACTATAAAAAAAAAAAAAGCTCAACATATTGGAAAAGAGCAACAGAGATATTTATTATGGAATAATGTGGAGGAAAATGTTAGACTGCAAAGCAGACTGGCCTTTTCAGTATTGCGTGGGTTTGGAAGGAAGCACTGACCTTTTCTTTGATTGTATTTTCTGTCCACAGAAACATACAATTAGTTTTTGCCTCATGTCTGCGGCTTTTCCTATATACTGGATTCATTTGGGTTATTAATAAGAAAGGGGGATAAAGCATGTCTTAAGGAACCAAGGCCCTGATTCAGCAATGCATCTCTTCGCAGGAAAGTACTTAAGTCCCATTGACTTCAAGGTGGTTTAAACACCTGCTTAAAGTTGTGCTTTGTTGAATGGGAACCTAAGACTCCAGAGTAAAGTTGGGAGTGAGTCTGACTGTAAATATCAGGCTACAGCGTTCGATCAGACACTTGGGGAACACTGGAAAACTGTTCTGTATCCAATGCTCTTAACTCAGGCCAGGAATATTTATTTTGTCTGTAAGAACACTGGTCTGGGTCTGGGCTACTCCTGTCATTCATCCCACAGTGGAGCAGTCTAATAGCGTTGGTGCCCCCAGGTAAGCAAAGCTGGCAGTTGCATCTCTTCAACCCTTAGTGTGGGGCATTGTTTCCTTCTAACTCTGCTTCACAGGCAAACAAATGTCCATTTTGGAAAGATCAGGTAATTTGATGTAGTTGCTTCTGAAACCATGTCTGTTCATTCTCTTCTAAATTCTAGTTTATTGGGGGGCAGAGACTTTTGCCAGTGCACCTAAAAGATTTATAAGCACAAAGCCCATGCTTTTTACTGGGGACTTGTGCTCCTAAATCCATTAGGCTCTCTTCAAAATCTGTGATTTTTTTTCTTTCCACTAACATGCACGGTTGTCTGGTTACTACAAAATACAGTGCGTCGTGCTTTAATGCTTACAATACAATTTTACGCTCTTAACTTTAAGATTATTTAATAAAATATTATTGTGTATTTTTTTAATTCCAATACGTGCACCCTGTTTGAAAGGGATATTTGGTCTTTAATTATGAAACTAAAACACAAAATACCCCCATGTTACATTTCCTTCTAACAGAACGATCTGGAGAAACCACAGCGGGTTAGGGAAAGCAGCTTTAAATACCTGCACTGCTTTGCAATGGGGATCTGTCCCAAACCAGGTTGGGGAGAACACCCTGTGGTATCCTTCTCTGCAGAGGACCATCTTTATACATTTTTCCCCCTCTTGTGTTTTTATAATTTAAAAACAAGCAAGCAAAACTCCTGGTTATTTTAGTAGTTTCCTTTTCATTTCAGCTTTTCTAAATTAGGAAATAATTCTAAAAAAGTTACTAAGAGGATGATTTATTTAAAAGAAAACTACAATTAATAGCATATGAATTATGGGTAACATTAGATTTAACTTTTCCCACGTGAGTGGGGAAGAGTCCTTGAAGGCATGGATGCAAATATAAAAATATTAAAAAAAAATAAAGCTTATTTTAAAGTATGAATGAATTCTATGTGATTTAATGGTTTCTAAGTTGTGTTTGCTAGGCCTGGATCCTTGGCTAGTCCAGATGATTAAATCGGATCATATGTATTGTCACATACTGTAACACAAATTAAGTATTTACACCACATGCCAGCAGGGTAGCTGAAGCTCTATTTGTTCATTCCCTCAGAACCAGAGTTTGTCTAATAGAGCAATTTCTTTCCAGCTGGTTAGGAAGGATATGAAGTTTCAGAAACTCGACTCAACACACAGAAGCTATTGCAGCTTTAGAATCCAGTGACTGGCATTTTTGAGGTAGATTCCAAGAACTGCCTGCGGGTGGCGAGAGAATCGAGGCCTATAGACAATAACTTTCATGTCTTCTTAAAAACTCTCCTCTGCTGTCCATTATTTTCCAGCCCTTGTGGCTGTGTCCACCTTAACAAAAGAAAGGGGGGGAAATATCTCCGTTCATGACTTGCCTTGAAAAAAAGATATATTTAAAGCCCAATCATTCCCCAGACAAGACAGCAAGGCGAAGGGAGCAGACACTCTGCCCATTGGGTCTTTGGCGGCAAGAAGCCCTGACCAGGAAAGGATTCGAGTAGGAGGACATGCCCTTAAGTCTGCCTTGCTTATCCTCTGAGCAGGAAAAACATGCAGACCCAAAAATCAATGAGCTAGTATTTTGCTGCTCATGGCCGTGTGAATGTCAGCTGACCATGGGGACTAGACACGCCCCAATTCATAGCCCACCCCCTAATGAGGCTATAGTTTGTAGGCTACCCTAACTGGGAATCACCATCACCTTCTCCCCATCATGTGCTGGATTCTATAGCTGCTATCAAGTACGGCCACTGAGGACTGAACTGACTTTCACAAAACCTGCGTGAAATTGAAATGCTTCCCCCATTTTCTTTTTCATTTCAACCCCAAGGTTTGGGTGGACCTGAACATTCCCCCTGCGGTGCTCCCAACCCAAACACGGCAGGGTTCGCTAAAAAGCAAAAATTGTCTGGAAACAGCAGCTGAAACTGACTGGTCTAGTTTCATCCTCCGTACGGAGCAAAATGCAAAGAAAAATCAAAACCAGTGAAAGAACAATGTTAAAAAATGTTCTTTCGCAACCCAAGATAGAGTGAGTAATGAGACCCAACTGTTCGGCCAAATTCACCCACTGCCCCTCATTCTAGAGGTATATGGCTCCTATTATCACGTAGCAGAGCACCTCTCAGTCAAATGTATTTATCCCAGGCTAGCGTTGTCCTCACCGGACCTCACTCCAGCCCCACTGCTGGGAGGACAAGGCAACAGAATGGCTCTGTCTGCCCCTTGCCCTCTTGTAGAATACCATCATGTGGGGGGGGGGGGAAGGGGAGAGGAAGGAGGGGGACTTAAAGGGGAGAACGCGGGGCCACCGGGGAATGAGTGGAGAAGAGGGAAATGGAGAAAAAAATCATAGTGAAAACTTCAGAAAAGAGGACGAGTGGGAGGGAAGGGAGAGCATGTACAGAAAACCTGACCATCTTTCACTTCAGAGGGAACTTGGGCTGGCTTTGAATGTGTTGAATACTGTAGCACTCAGAAATGTGTGAAGTAGCAGCAGGCACGTAACCTAGCTTTAGTAGAGGAGACCTAGGAAATCCTTACCTAGGGCAGCTCAATTTGGAGCAGCAGAGAAAGCTGCAAATCCCAAACAATGCTTGAAAAACACCCACTTGGTGAAGAACAGAAGCCAGACCAGTCTCTTGAGAGAGTCCAACAGTGATGCTGACTCTGGGATCTGAGCTTTCCCATGGCTCAGGAATGTTTAGACCTGGGGGTTGCGTTTGGCCCTGTACAGGGCCAGCTGTAAAGTTTGGACGTGGGGCCAAACTATTCTAAAATCTAAGGATCTTTGAACCAGGGGTTTTGTCTCAGGCTTATCTCCCAATCAGTATAGGGCAGTGGCTTTTAGAGTTGGAACTGGCATCGAGAATCTAGGAAAAGGTTTAGTAGACCAGAAAACCGGGAGGTGAAGGAAGCGATCTCCAACGTTGGTGTGTAAGGCTTTCAAGGTGGCAGTTGGAATTTCATGACCAGTGCAAAATGCATCAGGAGCAGTGATCCCAGAGGCACCAGACGGTAAGTCATGGCGCCATTCTGAGAAGAATATGGAAACAAAACTCAGGAGGGCAGAAAGCCAGGGCCTCTTCATGGGGAAACATGGGCTCTCTCGAGTGCCAAGTGGTGCAATTCTCAAGAAGCTAAGAACATATCCAATGATGATTCTTGTCCCCCAGTTGCTGGAACTTCAGGCGTATTATATTTGACACAATGCAGTAGGATTATCGGTGTCTGGAAGAGCCGGTGCTGTTACAGTCAGGCCTGCACTGCAGAGTCAGACCTGTGCAGGGACCATGGAATTGGGACATCAAGGTCTCTACTTTCCCTGCACAGAGGAGAGACAGGAGTTACTCCACTTCCTCCTTCCATGGGAGTTATCCCTTTCTGATAACTGCTTACAGAGAGGATTAATTTGCCTGTGATGCTATCGGCTTAAAGGAGGCTTGTTTATTCAGAACCACAGCTGCTGGCGGAGTCAGAGTCTAAGGCCGAGGCTACAGAGGGTTTTTGTACCAGTATATCGAGCTCGGTTACGGGATGTTTTGGGGTGGTTTTTGGCTTTGGGGTTGTTGGTTTTTCGCTGAAATAGCGATACAAGCTGTAACATGGATGCAGTTATACCAGTATAGTTTATTCCCCCTCCTGTATGGGGAGAAAGAAGTGCTTACCAGGATCGTTCAGCTAGGCGTCTCACACAGTCCTGCCCTCTGATCGGTGGTCCTCCAGCCTTCCCATCTTCCGTTTCTCCTGTTTAGACAGAAACACATTAGTGACACAAGTGTAGTGTCTAAGTTAAAGAGAGCGCCCCCAACTATAAAATCTGCTAGTCCCCCCATTGCACAGAGGGGAAACTGAGGCACAGATTCTCAATGGGAGTTGGGCACCTAAACACCTTTGAGGGCCTGAGTCTAAGTGACTTGCCTCAGGTCACACAGGAAGGCTGTGGGGGAGCTAGGACTTGAACCCAGGTCTTGCAAGGGCCATCCTTCTGGCTATATTTCTGTAACAGACAAGCATGTCAGAGAACATGATCATTCTTTTGCCAGTCCCTAGGACCTCTTCTTTAAAGCTCTAAGAGCACTTTACAAACCACTACGCTTCACAACATCCCCGTGAGGCAGATGGGGAAACCGAGGCACAAGGGTGCAGTATCTTGCCTGGCAAAGATGGGAATAGAACGTAGGAGCTCTGCCTCCTCCTGTCCCACCTATAAATATACACAACCACCTGCCATACAAATGAACTGCAGCAAAGTGTAAAAACAAGCAACCAATAGTTTAGAGAAATAATACAGAAACCATACTGCTCAGGAAGGTCAGTTCTTGCTCTATGGGGTGTTTCACGCTTTAGAATGGTCTCATTTAACTTGCCTCCTGACTGAAGTTCAGTTAAGTGGTGGGAGACATTCGCCTTTTTATTCTCTTGTCTGCAGAGAACACTGCAAGACATGCCACGAGTGCAACACTAGCTACCCTCCCAGGCTCCCTGCGTGTTTCTAAATACCCAATCCTTTGCATAAACACTGATTAGCAGCAATTATCCCAGACTCTGTGTGGCCAAACCAAATTCTGAACTTAATGGCCAGCTCTTCAACTGGCCTACAACTCCATAGCACCACCAACTTCAGGGAAACTGCACTAATTAACACCTGCTGGGGATCTGGCCCCTTGACTTCAATGGAGCTGCACTGATTTACACCACTGGTGGATCTGGCCTGATCATTCATTAGAAAACTATACAGGAAGGCCAGCCCATCCTGCTTAAAGAGAGAGAGACAACAGCCTGCAATGAAAGGGGGGGCACGATGATAGGTTTCACATTTAAAATATTCCTTACCACTGTTTTTAATATCACCATGGGGGGGGGGGGGTTCATAAATCCATACAGTGCGTTGCAACCATTACATTAAAATCTGCCTGTGAGCTAAGTTAGGCATCAGTAATGCTCCTACAGAGAAACTGAGGCACTGGAACAGTTTGCTCAAGGCCATTCAAGACACTTGCTAGGCGAACTCGAGAACGGCAACAGGCCACTAACAGGAGCATTTTGGAGGAAACAGAGGTGGACTCGGTGCTTGAAGGTAGTGGGACTTGGGGAGTGGTGCATTTGGTCCATCTATGGGTCGGTTGTTCTCTGGGCCTAGGCTGTGTAGCAACCATGGGCCCCTAAGTAAGCAGCTTAGAGGGGTCTGTTTAGTGCCTTATAAGGCTCTGCCCTTTGGAGCTTTGACCAGCCCTGCCATCTGAAGTCTCTGACAGGTTCATCGCACCCTAGTGGTGTCGGGTGGAGCTGAGCTGAGCTAAGCAGGAGACTTGGTATTAAAAGTCACTTGCCAGGTGAACTTGAGAGCCATGATCAGAGGCAACTAACAGAGTTTCGGGGGGAGATGAGAGAGGAAGTGTGAGGTTTTCCTTCTGGGTTCAGCGCTATGTGCGATTTCAGGATGGCCAGTGATGGAACAGTGGTGGTGACCTGCAACAGAGGTGCCATGTTTTCTTTCCTAGCTGAAGCCAGAAGGGACTTCTGGTGCATGAAGTGCAAGTTGGTTGCTGTGCTCGAGGAAAAGTTTCTTGGATTCAAGACACTACTCAGAATCAGAGTAGCGGAGAAGTTTCTGGACAGCCAGGCTCAAGGAAGCAAGGAGCTGGCTATCAAGAGTCAGAGAGGAGGCCTGGCAGTTCCTAACCATCAGACGCAAGAAATCACATCAGCATTCTTTATCAGTGGAGACAGATGAAGATGGGCAGGCTGTGGCCACCAGAGAGAATTCCACACAGCTAGAAGTTTCCAATTGACACTAGTTCCTCAATGTGGAAGCTGTAGAAAATACCTCTCAAGATCCAGTTGGTCTATGGGAATGGAGAGATGTATGGGACACACCCTATGGATGGCAGCTCAGCCTAACCTGTAAGAAAAGCAGGCTTGCCCACAATGAGTTCTCCAACCATCCAAGGAAGACAGATGATCCTTGCTGGGGATTCAATACTCAGAAGAATTGAAAGAGCATTCTGCAAGGGACAAGTGGACAACAGGACAGGATGCTGTCTTCCCAGAGCCAAGCCACAAGATGTCACTCTAAGATTGAATAGCCTTCTGAAGAGAACAGGTCAGGGTCCATTGGTGATAGTTCATGTCGACAGTAACGACAGTGCGTCAAGGGATAGCTCACAGATAACATCACTTCAGAGAACTTGGAAGCATGCTGAAGCAGAAGAATGTCCAAGTGATCTTGGAGATCCTTTCTGTCCCACAAGCAAAAGACGACCAAAGGCAGAAGATTCTGGAAGTGAACCACTGGTTAGGTAAGCGGTGTAAGGTGGAGGGTTTGGGTTTTGTGGAACATTGATCCACCTTCTTTTGTGGGGGCGAGAACTGAATAATTTGGATAGCCTCCACCTCAGTAGCAGGGGACCAAATCTCCTTGAGGACAGGCTGGCTAGAGTACTGTGGAGGGGGTTAAACTAATAACAAAAGGAGAGGGTAAAAAGAGTGAAGACACAGAAAAGATTCAAGACCTTGAGAACAAAATTAATCAAGGAACCAAAGGGCATAAAGAGAAGAACTTTTAATTGCATATAAACCAATGCTAGTCTCCTAGGTAACAAACAAGAGGAATTGGCATGGCTCATTTATGAGCATAAATTCAATCTAGTTGGTATTACTGAAACATGGTGGGATGATTCACATAATTGGAATGTTAAAATCAATGGTTATAACCTATTTAGGAAGGAGTGAGTGGGCAAAAGGGGAGGGGGAGGGGCACTGTACGTCAAAAAATGGCATCACCCTTTTCTGAGCCACTGACAACACAAAAGAAAATGATCTTGAATGCTTCTGGATCAATGTCCTAGCAGATAAAGCACAAGACTGGAGTGTTAGTTGGAATCTGCTGCAGACCACCAAATCACATTAGGGCACAGGATAACGGCTCCTTACACACCTGTCTACAATGTGTAGGGGGGGGAAAGCTGAGTGATCATGGGGGACATAAATTTGAGGGATACATGCTGGAGGTCTAATTTGCCAGTACTAAAACATCCTTGGAATTTCTAAACATTATAGACTATCATTTCCTAACTCACAAAGTGCTGCAGCCAACCTGGGGGAATTCTATTTCTAGACCTAATCTTGTCAGATAAGAAGAACTGATCACAGAACTAAAAGATAATGGTAACTTAATGTACAAACAGAAAAAAAGTCCAGACCAGTAATACTTATATTTGGTGTTTTAAAGCGGCCAATTTCACAAAGCTGAAAACAATTATGAGCCAAATGAAGGGGGGAGGGGGCGAAGGATGAATTTAATCAGAAAAATGTGAATGAGGATTGGGAATTGTTTAAGAATGCTTCACTAGTTGCCCAAAAAGCCAAAGTCCAACAACTGAGGAAAGAGGCTGTCTTAGCTAAAAAAAAAAAAAAAAACAACACACACCACAACCTGGTTTAGAGGGGAAGTGAAGGCAGGGGGAAGAAAAGGGATGTTGATAGTAATGAATATAATTCAGAAGCTAGGAATTGTAGAAATTGATAAGGGAACTGAAGGACTAGCAGACTTAAGGATAATCAGGAGTTGTTTTAAGTATATTAGGAACAAGAAGAATCCTAATAGTGGTATTGGTACATTACTAGATGGAAATGGAAGAATTATCAATAGTAATGCAGAAAAGGTAGAAGTGTTTTATAAATATTTCAGTCCTGTATTTGGAAAAAATCAGATGTAGTCATATCATATGATACCACTCTTAACACTCTTTCTATTCCACTAATACAGTACGAGGATGTTGAACAGCTGCTACTAAAGTTAGACATTTTTAAACCAGCAAGTCCATTTAATTTGCACCCAAGAGTTTTAAAAGAGCTGTCTGAGGAGTATGCTGGACTGTTAATTTTGATTTTCAATAAGTCTCAGAACATGGGGAAGTTCCAAAAAACTAGAAGAAAGCTAATTCTGTGCCAATATTTTAAAAGTTTGCAGATGGCCCAAAAATTGGAGGAGTGGTAAATAATGAAGAGGACAGGTCACTGAGTCAGAGCAGTCTGGATCACTCAGTAAACTGGGCGCAAGCAAATATGCGTTTTCATTATGCTAAAAGTAAGTATATACATCCAGGAACAAAGAAAGGCGCCCTTGCTTGCAGGCTGGGGGACTCCATGCTAAGAAGCAGAGACTCTGAAAAAGATTTGGGGGTCATGCTCGATAATCAACTGAACGTGAGCTCCCAGTATGGCAGTTTGGCAAAAAGGGCTAATGTGGTCCTTGGAGGCATAAACAGCGGAGTCTCGAGTAGGAGTAGAAAGATTATTTTATGTCTGTATTTGGCACTGGTGCAAGTACTGCTGAAATCCTGTGTCCAGTTCTAGTGTCCACAATTCAAGAAGTAGTGTTGATAAATGGGAGAGGTTTCAGAGAAGAGCCAAAAGAATGATTAAAGGATAAGAAAGTTTGCCTTATAGTGAATCTACTTAGCTTAAAGAGAAGATTAAGGGGTGACTATTACAGTCTATAAGTACTTACATGGGAACCACTATTTAATAATGGGCTTTTCAATCTATCTGTGGCAGGTATAACATGGTCAATTGGCTGGAAGCTGAAGCTAGAAAACTTCAGGCTGGAAATAAGGTGTACATATTTGATCATGCGAATACTGACCCATTGGAACAAGTTGCCCAGGGTTGTGGTGGAGTCTCCATCACACAATTTTAAAATCCAGACTGGATATTTGTCTGAAAGCTCTGCTCTAGGAATT